GTTGTATTATAATTAAATTGTTTCCATATAAATCTGTTTCTTCCCATCACGTTAACATAATGTCATTCTGCCTTGGGCTTTTGTAGGCTTGTGGTCTTGTGTAAAATCCATTTTTAATTGCTATATATATATAAAAAATTAGAAATTGGGGACTTTAAAAAATGGTAAAAAAAGGAGGCCCAAGACTGCTTTGTTGGTCTGTCCTCAGGTCCGGTCCTGGTTGCGGCACGCGCACCGGTTCCTTCCGGCATGAGATGTCGTACGCGTACCAGCTCCTTTTGGCACGGGATGCGGCATGTGTGTTGGCTCCTTCAGCACGGGACACGGCACGTGTACCGATTCCCTTCGGCATGGGATTTCGCACGCGTACCACCTCCTTTCGGCATAGGACGCGGCATTCGTGTCGGCTCCTTCAGCACGGGACACGGCAAGCGTACCGATTCTCTTTGGCACGAGATGCGGTACACGAGTCTGAGCCCTTCGAAAAACGATACGATAATAAAGTCGTAGTTCTACTGAATACACATTCCGTGCCGAAGGGAGTTCTGCCGAATGCACTGTCTATGCCGAAGGCATTGCTAGAAAAGACATTCTACCAAATTCACCGCAGTGATCATGACGAGGACGAATATAAGAATGCTGTCGAAGACCTAGTCATGAGGAGTGGGCCGAAGACAAAGACGTACGTTCTAAAATGACAAGTCTTGCCTAAGGTAGGCCTAGAACGGTGGCCCAAGAGATCAACCGACTTTGTTGGAAGCTAGTTTCTGAAGAGTTAGATATTTTTCTTTTTCCTTTAGGAAGATGAGCCGAAGAGGAAAAGAGCGAAACAAAAATTTAGAAAAATTAAGATAGTTTCTTTTATCGTTTTAGAATTGGTCTAGCCGATTTAGATTAATATATATATACTTATGTGCATCCATTGAGAAAGGGATCCGAAATCATACACATAAACTTATACAACAAAAACTTTCTCTACAGCATTAAGAATCTCTTGATCTTTTGTTTTGGTTTAACCCTAAAAGTTCAATTCCCTCTAAAATTTTTGACAAGTATTGATTGTGCTAGTTTTGACACCCAAAGAGTCGAATCAATTTTTCATACTGAAATATTCTTTAAAAAAAAGTATAATAACTATTCTTCCTATTTTTTCGACACATTTCAAACTAAATATAGAAAAAAATAGCATATAAATATGTTCATATTTAATTTACCACTTACTAAAATTCAAAACTATATATTGATAAATGAACTTTATTTGAAAAATCACTTTAGAAAATATAAAAACAACATTTTCAAAACATAAAATAACTTTAAAACGACTTTTCTTGTTCAATGGATCAAGGAACAACTATTAGAAGAAAACAAGTAACAAAAAGAGTAAAAAAAACACTAAAAAAGAAAGAGTAAAAAGACAAATTCTTTAATTAACAAACTCACAAAACTCAAAAAGAAAGATATGAAAGCGAGTAATTACGAATATTAAATTCCCTTTTTATTAAGACAAGGTCCCAGCAAATAACCCAGCGACAAAAGTCCAGCTCTATCTATATTCATTTACAGACCTATTTCACACCATTTTGAAAGTCTCTTCTCTCTCAATGGAGTTTTTTCAGAAGGCTCGAGCGGTTCGTTTACGCAGCCACCACGACAAATACCTAGTCGCCGAAGAAGACGAAGAATCCATCACTCAAGACCGTAACGGATCCGCCGGTGCAGCCAGATGGACCGTCGAGCCAGTCCCTGGCTCTACCCATATCATCCGCCTCAAAAGCGCTTACGGCAAATACTTAACGGCGTCTAACAAACCGTTTCTCCTCGGAGCCACCGGAAAAAAAGTTCTACAGACTAATCCGAGTCGTCTCGACTCGTCTCTTGCTTGGGAACCGATCAGAGACGGTGCTTTGGTCAAGCTCAAGACTCGTTATGGTCACTACCTTCGTGGTAACGGTGGTCTTCCTCCGTGGAGAAACTCCGTCACTCACGACATTCCTCATAGATCAGCGACTCAAGATTGGATTCTTTGGCACGTCGATGTCGTTGAGATCCTCTCTGATCAACACCTTAACCAGCCTCCGTCTCCGCTTTGCCATTCCGATTCCCTCGATTTCAATCCTGGATCTCCTTCCAGATCTGGTCGGCTCTTCAGACAGGAGGTGATTCTTGTCTTAATTTCGATCTAAATTGACAAAGATTTGAATATTCGTTGACTTTATGTTTTTGTGTGTGTGTGTTGTAGTCAACGGATCCAGTGGCGGTTGGTTCGCCGCCGAAATCATCGGAAGGGAGAGTGATATACTACCATGTGGCTGATGATGACGGCGAAGTTGAAGATGATTCTGTTGAGGTAAACTCGTTTACTTTCAAAGGCAATGGAGTTGAAGAGCTGACTAAGAGATTGAAAGAAGCGAGCAATGTCGAAGATGTTATTGTTTGTACTCGTAGTCCTTTGAACGGGAAGCTATTCCCGTTGCGTCTTCAACTTCCACCGAACAATGCTGACATGACCGTCGTCTTAGTCCCAATCTCATCAAAAAGTGAGTTTCTTTTGTCCTGATTTCGAGTCCAACAATCGTTTCTTTGACACTGACATTTTGAGGTTGTTCTCTGTTTTCTTTGGTGTTAACAGCAGCAGAAGAGTTCATCAAGTGAGTATATGTTTGTAGCTGAGCCGTGAAGTGAAGGCCGTAGCTGCAAATGATTTGTTGTTAGTTCAGCTATAAGAATGAATGATTGCGTTAGAGATCTGATTGATTACCAAAACTTATGATTTATACAAAATTGGTTGCAGCGGTCAGTGATTCTCGCTGCCTATTATACCATTTTTTCCCTTTTATATATCCTGAACGCCATTGTTCAACTCTCATGCTCAATCTCTTTTGATCGTTATACTGCGCTGCGGCTTGTTTCTGCTACCAGTAATCTAAGCAAGAGCAGGATCCGTCTTTAAAGTGATGGAACCGAACACGATCTCTCACAATGATCTCAGTGTTGAAGACTTTTGAAATCAGTTTAGTAACCTCGTGGCAATCGCTGCAGACACGTAGATTCTTCAATATACAGATTGGAGTCTGAGGTGGCAAGCTTATCAGACCAAAAGCAATGGCAAGTCTCTCACTGTGCAGTCTGAGGGAATACTCTTTGCTACCATCATTCGTTGAATCGACTAAAGGTGCTTGAGAGCGATCCGGTAAATAACCATTCGATCTCAGCTTGTCATCAATCACCTTCAACTGTTGGTATATTTGTTTCGTCTGAGGATGCGATGTGTCTCCTGCGAAGAACTCATGGGATATGCCATTTATCTCAATGGAACTGCATCCGGGCTCTTTTGTAATTCCATGTTCAGTCATTAGTTTTCTGACAATTCCAACATCATTCCACCGGCTAGCTGATGCATAAACCCTGGACAACAGAACGTATGCGCCACTACTGCTACCGTAGGAGATTTGGTCATCTTCCCTTGTTTCAATGATATGTTTAGCAATTTCTTCACCTAGCTCCAGACTAGCACCTTTTTTGCAACAAGCATCAAGGAGACTTCTCCAAATCACTGCATCTGGTTTCATCGGCATGCTCATCACCATGTCAATAGCTTCGCTAATGTAACCCGCACGGGCAACAAGGTCAATGATGCAACCGTAATGCTCCAATGCAGGTTTGATGCCATAATCTGTGACCATCGTGTCAAAATACTGGCGTCCTTTGTTTACCAAGCCTCGGTGGTTGCATGCGATGAGGAGGGCGACAAACGTGACTGAGTTCGGTCTAACATTCTTGCCTTTTTTCACCATACGGTCAAAGCAATCCAGTGCTTCTTCAGCTCTTCCGTGTGTAGCATACCCTAGAATCATTGCGTTCCATGAAGCTAAGTCGTGTTTTTGCATCCCCTGGAACAACTGCTCAGCCATTCTCAACGATCCGCATTTGCAATACATTTCGATCAATGAGTTCTTGATCAGAACATCCATACCGACATCCACATCGCATTTTCGCAACAGAAACGCATGTGC